GGAGTTGGGTTGCATGGGGCAGCCATGGAGGGGGCTGGGGGAGCAGGTGGGGGATGGGGCCTTGCAGAGGTCCCCCCATGGTTGCTTCCTCCCTCAGCCCCCCCCTTCCCTGCCTCCAACTTACCAGCATGGACTCCGACTCCAGCTCCCTGCTGCAGCCAACAGGGACTATCCGAATCATCAAAATACTCTGAATCTTTTCTGAATTGATTCAGAGAGCTTCAAATTGATTCAAACCTTTTAATTCGTCCCCTCATTCAATTTGGATTCAGAGATTTGGCCACCAAATTGGGCTGAAACTCCCCTGAATCGAATCACCACCAAAAGCTCTGCACAGCCATTCTGGGGATGATGACATCATATTTTTTGTTAGAAGGCCAGTTCTGGATTTTTTTTTTCCCCCCCTTAAGGCTGACAGTCTTTCAGACAGTGATGAAAAATCCATCTGTTTACCAGGTTATTGCAGGAGTTGGATTGCAGGCGTACCTTTTCCAATTAGAATATATAACCATTTAGTTCTTTAAGGAAAATGCTGATCATGGTTAGGACTATTGTTGGTCGGTTGTTTTGACAATCTAAGGTAAAAATAGTTACTGTGCAGCTATGGTGATGGCTTAAGCAATACTTGCATTTATTTTACTTATAAACTGAAAGTCAGATCAAATAAATATCTAGTTCCTTCTTTTATTAGTTGTGTTCCAGAATAATGCAGGTGTATGAAATGAAGACAGATGTATATAAGCTTTTCATATGAGTGAAATTGCACTGGTATCGAATTGAAATAACACAATTGTAAATTAGGCTACGTATTAAAACTGCTAATGGATGTTATCTTTTAGTATTTGGAGACTAAGGATCTAGTATATAAAAGGTTGGAATTTCATGGACAGAAAATGCCTATTTTTGTTCTTTCATCCAAAAACTTCCTGTGAATGTGTCATAAGAAATCTAGAGTGATACAGAAATCACAATAAGCGTGGCCTTCTCTAGAAGAACACTGCTACCATGAATGTAGTAGGAAATAACTATAAACCCTCCAAATGTACTTGGATCTCACGTCAATGTAAATAGAAGTTCTCAAAATGGATATATAATTGTAACGATTCATTGTAAAGGCCCTGTATCTGTCAAAAAACAAAAAGCTGGCTAAACTTGAAAGTGAGCAAAAAAACTAATTATAAACAAATAGCAGTTAACATTTTAAATAAAACTGGGAAAAGGCAAAAAGATTTAAAGCATAAGCAAGTAGGTGAAAGGGGTTTTGTTGTGTTCCATCTGAGATTACTTGTGTGCATTCCTGTATTCAATTACCTGGGAAGATGTGATATTCCCTTAAGAGAGAGCAGGAGATCAGAAGTGATGGCAGTTTCGTGCCTCTGCTTACTCATAGTCCTTTGGAACTGGTTCAGCAGAAATAGCTTAAATTGCAAAAGGGTTTGGGGCCAGACAGTGACTACAGCCAGTAATCACTGGGTCAAGATTGTAATGCAGTCCAACAACACAAAGTTGTGGTGGAACAAAGAGTTTCAGATGGATGTTTGAATGCTGTTACAAGAGACCTTTTCTTAATGCCATGAAGCCAAAGTCATTTCTGAATCTGAACCAGATAGTAAGTCAGTCTTGTACAATGGATGTTCATGTGAGATTATCCCAGGTTTCTATGATGTTGAATAGATTTTCTTTCATCCAAAAACTTTCTGAATAGCTGGGGTTGATGCATTTTCAAATTTCAATAAGGGCTTAATATTTTTCACAAAGCCACCAAATATTGGCCTCTGTCATGAACTGAAGATTAATGATCAACTAACTGCTTTTAAATTCTTCCACAAAACCCACTTCCTTCTGTTGTTTTCCATCTATAATCACTGCCTAATTGTTGCCCAGGACCACTTCTGTTCCCGATCAGATTGAGGTTATAATAAAAAAGGGAAAAAAAAGAGAAAGAGGAAGAGTGAGCAACAACAACAACAAAATCTAAGTTCTTCAGCTGAGCTTGTGCTGTCAGGAAAGGAAAAATGAATGAATGGGAAGGAAAAGGAAAGAGCTCTTTCAAGAGCTTTCATCTTATCTTGTCAGTGTATTCCATTTTGATCTTGTTTCCTTAATATTGCTAGGAGTTTGGAAAATATGGTATGGAGTGTTTAGCCAAATGCCCAAATACAATTACTGTGGATAATATTTCAGTAACCATTTTGCAAACTTCTCCTAATTTAGGGGAATGGACAGAAAAAGAAGAGAACAGAATTTTATTCCTGAATGGTTTGGCAAAGTTTCTAGAGATGGGAACAGTAAATATTACTATTGGTATAGCCAAGAGCTCTTATTTGCACATACATAAAATGAAATGAATAATATTAAATATCTCCAAAAATATCAGGAAAGCTATGGAGAATGCCTAGAACTAAAGGGTTCTATTAAAAAAAGCAAACAAACAAAAAATCCAGCATCTCTGCAGGCATTTAAAAAAGTGGCATATTAAATTAAATACAAAGAGTTATTTGATGAAGAACAATGTAGGAGACTATTCAGAGGATTGAAATGTCAATAGGAAAAGGTAGGGGTGTGCAAAAATGGGTCCTATTTGATTCAGATTCTGTCCAAATCAGGAACAGTGATTCAGTTAGTTGATTTGGATCACTGTCCCCGATTCGATTCAGCAAAATCTGGATCTGAAGATTTGATGCTGATTCGAAGAATCAGTGATTTGGCCGTAATGCAGCTTTAAATGTTTTTTCTACATACCTCGAGGTACCAGGCGCAGCTCATGAATGCTGTAATGCTGGGGCAAGTGGAGCATCCCATAGGAACACTGGGCCCCCTCCCCCGCATGCTCAGTGGTGAACCCAGAAGTGGACTGGACGTACTTAATAAATAAACGCATAAAATCAGTAATCTATTATTTTGTAAGATCCTCCTATTCTCTCTCATTAGCAAATTACAAATGTCCTTTTCTTAACAGTTTCAGGGTAGCTGGTCATGCAGTGTGGGGAGGAGGGGGAAGGGGAACAGTGGCTGCACACGGAGTGGCAGCAGCAGCCACCAGATGCAAGCTTCCCTCTCTGCTGCTCTCCGTCAGCTGCTGCTACTCCCCAATATAGCGTAGTTTTAAAAGGTAACAGATTTTCAAGAATTCTGGATTTTTTTAATGTCTGGATTTATGAGGTTATACTGTACATCCCTGAAACATGGAAGATGCTGAACTTTATCCTATTTTGGATTTAAAACTTCACTGGTGAACAAGAAAGATTTCTACACCTCCCTGCCTGTCTACCATCTGGCACCACCAGAGAAGGAATCCTGCCTTATCTGCACCTCAAAGAACAACTCATAAAGGCACTCTCATGGACCCAAAGAAACAGACTTCCACCTTCGGCTTCTTCTGTGCAAGAAAGAAGTTTATTTTCTACCTATGGGGACTTTTTACCATGTTTCATTTTCCCTGAACCTGAGGAAGGGTGTGTGCATCCAAAAGTTTGCAGAAAAAGATATTTTTAAATCATTTCTTAGTTTAATTTCTAATAAAGGGTCTAATATTTGAACCAAGGGTTCTAGAGTTTTGCATTTCTTTTCTTAACATGTAACTTAAGTATGATTACTTAGGTGATCTTAGTTGAACATGCAGTTCTTTGCAGGATTTTGGCTTTAAGGTACTTGAAGTGCAAAGCATTAGGATAAAGACATAGAATGTAATTTTCTTGGGTGAATACCTGTTGGCAAGATGGAGTTGATGCAAATTTAAATGAATTCCGCTGGGTTGATCATTTGTGATGCCTTGCTTGGAAGACAATAATATGTGGACATAAAAGAAAAAAAGTATCTGGATGATAAGAGAAGTTAAACAATGAAATATCCTGCCATGAGGCGTCATAGAGATTCCATTGATAGAAATATACAGAAGGGGAGTAAATGATAAATTCGAGGTATAGTGTGTACCAGGTCTAGGCAGTCCATCCTGTGAGAATCTACTGATTTTAATCTCATAGCAGATTTGGAAGGATTATTCATTTTCTTTCAATGAAAAATTTTTAAAGGATATTTTTTCTTTCAGTGCTCTGTGAGCTATTGAAAGACTATAAAATCCTTTGAGATACTGAGAGTATGAAAGCAGCCATACAAATCTAGGTTCTCTTCTGATGTATAAGAGGCAATATTCATAGAGACAGTCATTTACTGGAATGATGCATCCTTTTATAGGAGTGCAACTGTACTTTTGGAGACTTCAGTAGTTTAGCTTTGAGGATTAGTAAAACAATTCCAAGCTGGAAAAGAAAGAAGATGATTCCGCAAAATCCAATACAGAATATTTTTTTAGTATGGTAAAAGGTCACCAGCACTGCCCCCCCCC